AAAATGGCTTTTGTTTAGATCACATAAATGGGCAAATGAGCTACAAGGGTGGGGAGTTGTCCCCTGTCCTTTTAGAGGTGTGACACAGGGAACATCCTTTCCACCTGCTAGGCCTCAGAAACTCCTTCAGCTTTTTGAACTCAAGAGCAAATTGCCCAAGTCAATCTGAGGGCAGGATGTGGCCATGTTGATGACAAAACACCCCTTGTCTTGTCCTCTGCTCTCACTCCTCTACCTCTTCCTGGTTAAGCCTCTGCAGCCAGTCAATCTTTTTCAAGAGCTTGGTGACCAAGAGCTTTTTTGCTCCATGGTTAACCCAGCTCCAAGCTCTCTGGCATACACCAGCACTGGTAAACACCTGAATCCTGCCAGCAAGGATGAATCCTGAAACAGAACAGCTGTAGAGGGCATCTGCAACCCAAACAACCTCAATAACCCTAACTTGGTGCTCCTCTATCTGCTCCAGCCAGAAGCCTCTCACAGAAACAGCGTAAGCACCAAGTATGCACTGAGAGCACATAGTGCAAACATGGTTTTTAATTTCAGCTGACACCAGCAGAGCTATATATGGAATTCAACATGGCCCTTGGCACTTTGTCCAACTGGATCCCCAGTGGGAATGTGACAGAGGCAGAGAGCAGTTCCTCAGCCTGAGTTCAGTCAGAATTGCAGTGACAGGGATCTTAGCCTTGCAAAACCAGGCAAAGGCTTCTCTGAACAACCTATAGTGGTTAAAAACCTGGTTAATGCCTTACCTGCAAGACAGCACCTTAGGTCCCGCTACCAGGCTGCACTGGCGGGTCCCTCCACTGGATAAGGGGACAGACAGTTCAAGGCTCATTGACCGGCAGGCAGAAAAGGCTGCTGCTTTACCTATGTATGGCAGAATAGCTGGCATGAATCCTGTGCATTAAAAGCCTACTGGCCCCCTGCACAGTCAGCTGCCCACAGGCTCTGCCTGCCCAGTCTTCACCACTTGGCAGCCTCGGGAAGGCTACAATTCAGGATGCAAGAGCTATGCCTCTGCGGCAGGCCAGTCAGCGCAAATGAAGCTGCATGGAAGATGAGTTGCAAACTTCACTTCTCTTCAATGGCATTTTCACCACCACCGTTTTTTCCTTTGCAGAGTCACCCATCCAAATATTAGTGCAGACCCTGGCTTTATTAAACGATTCAATTCTGAGCCCCTGTGCCCCAAAAGCTGCCCAGTGCTGCTGGGGCAGCATGACAGCCCTGTGGTGTGCAAATAGCATCTCACACCTCTACTTCCCCAAAGGGGACGCTAACAAACAGCATCAGCACTGCAAAGCTGCTTCCTCTAGGGTCACTGAGCAACTGCCTCCTGGATTTAGACTTGGAGTTTAACAAGGGTGTCAAGGAGAGGAAACGCATATGAGGAACGAGAATGAGCAAACTCCTCAGAGTGTGATAAAGAGCCCATTCATAAAAAGTTATACACCATTTAAAGGCTGGGTTTTCACACACTTCCCTGGGAAAATATGCAGTGCACATGTATTTTTTTCTCTCCGCAAGAAGCCCGTACTTTCACAATTCACACTAATCCCCCTCTCCGCCCCCTGCTGAATTGCCGTCTGTCTGCTTCTTCCGAGCTAATTTCATGGGCTCAGCCCCTTGCGGGAGCCATGGCCACTCATGCAGCATCTCCTTCCAGATGGAAACACTCGTGAGTCCACCTGCAAGAGGGGGACAGGGAGGTGCTTGGCTTCTGAAATACCTTTAAATTACTCGGCAGAAAAAATAAATAATGAGGAGCTAAGTTGCAGCTGCTGGAGCAACATTACCTGACGCATGTGCAGCAGGAAAAAAGCAATAAACGCTGCCAACCTCAAAACAGGCAGGAAGCAGTAAAACCAGCTGCCAACTCTATGCTGAAAGGCAGGCTCACAGAAACCTCTGGAGAGCAGCACGGCTCCAGCCTCATCACATCACCTGGTACGGCTGGGATGTACACTGGGGCCAAGATGAGCACCCAGACCTCCCTAAGCCCACTGATGAGGCCAGTCCCGTGCTTCAGCACAGGGTACGGCACCTCTAACACTGCCAGTGATGCTTCACAAGCTGATTGCTTCTTTCCTTTCAGGCAGAAGACGACTTTTACACGTCAGGACACTGAGGTTAGGAGACAGGGTCAGGATCAGAGCCAGTGGCAAAGCAGGTGGGACTACTGACTGCCCACTCAGGGTGGCAGAAGATTTGCAGTTACAATAGCAGAGGACTTGGAGAAGTTGTGCTTCCTTGAGATTTTAGGGAGCAGGAGTAGAGTAGAGCTCTTGCATAGTCTTATATCCTAGGCATGGTCTAGGAAGTTTCCTGCTAGAATAACAGAAGCACAAAGTACAGACTACCGTGTATTTGTAAATACAAATATCTGAGAAGCAATGGCAGGAGCTTGGGCCAGAAGCCATATGGCTGCTTCATTCTGCCTGCCTGACTGTTCCACCCAGGTCTTAAGAAAAAGCAACAATAAAACTCCAGAAACCACATTTTTAATCCCAGTCATACCCTTGATTCACTTCCCTCTCTGCCTCAGTTCTCAAGATGGAAAAGGAAGGAATTAAATCTTTGCTACCAAAAGGCTTGGAGCATGGATCATTCGATGTGAACAACAACATCAATGGCCAGCCAGTGCACTGGCTGGACATAGGCGCCTTCCAGGTAAAGGAAGCTTTGTATTTGTTTGGGTTTTTTCCCCAAAATAAACTTCAAGAAGAAGACACAAAATGCAATCAAAATGAAACAGCTACTCACCTAGTAATGGAGCCTTCCTCCAGTAGCCATCACGTACCTCCACATAATCATACCAGCAAAGGCGACTTTTAAATAGGTCCATTGAGGTGAAGTTTAACATAATCTGAAAGGAGAGAGCACACATTTCTCCTTGGGAAGGGAGCTAATTTAAAGAGAAGACCCTACAGGTTAGGTGCTTCACCCCTGCCACAGTGCTGCCTAAGTGAGTATGCAGGAAAAAACAGTTGGACAGCTGAGTCAATTTTTTAATCTGTTTTCCTCAAAAAAGGAAGGCTTCTCAAGGTATTTTAATAAAATTCTATGAAAGTAAATGACAGCAGACAGCACTCTCCTATCTATTCTGTAATTCACACTCATTGCTTCTCAGTTACTAAAACGCTACCAAAAAAGTTCAATTTGTTTGTTTAGTGTTTTTTAATTAAAAACTGAATCCTTAGTTTTGATTAATGGGAGTATCATAGAGAAACACATTGCCCCAAAATACAACTGTTTGGGGTCTATACCTTTATATAAACAACTGTTGTAAGCAAGAGCTGCTTTTACTGACAAGTTCTCATATTCTGATAATTACACTCACACGGTCACCATGATGCAGTTGTGTTCAGTGGCTTTACCGAGCAGAGCTTAGCAAGAAAATTTTATTCCTTTGGTCTCCTTCCTCTGTAACAAGGATTACAGGCCTTGCTCTGGGCCTATGGAAGTCACCAATTGGGGTGTACTCACGGCATTTTTGTCCTTGCAAGGTTTGACCTGTGTATTAATTTACATCATAGCCTGCCACAGAAATGTGATAAGATTAAAATAGATACTCTCTCCCAAAAGCCCAGGCTGGATGTGCAGAGTGTAGTCTGTAAAGATGTTGCTTACTTTGTTCACACTTCCACAGTTTTATGACTTTGGACAGCAAAAGGAGATTCACCTGTTTCCATGTAGATGAATACAATATCTGTTCTAAGCTAATACCTCAGTGCTATCCAAACTTTTTTTTTTTTTGTATCAGTGGTTTAGCATTTAGATGCTGGGTCCTATCCAATACAATTCTTCTGAAGAGGCTGAGAGACAAAGGGAGAATTTACAGTCAGATTTACACCACAAAACTCCCAGTGCCAGAGTTTCAAAACCTGGACTGTTCTCAGCATCTCTGTCCCTGCTGAAGCTCTCCCTGCAGCTAATGGTGAGAACTCAGCACTGCATGGGACTAGGCTTGCAGGTGACAGAATTGGGTCCCAGAGCAAGACGGCTGCTGCAAAACAAGTGAGCTCTGCTCTTCTTTGTTTGAGTCCGAGTCTTAAGTGCATCTTGAGGGTGGTCCTCAGCAAAGCCGCTCTACCGAGGAGCTCCCAAGCCAGGCTGCGCATTCCTGCAGCCTGGTACGGCATGAAAGGCCTGAAGGGCTGGTGTTAGTGGATTAAGGAAAGATTTCATTTCCACAGGAAGATCAATAAAACAAAAGGAGCTGGGAAGAAAGCAGACAGGGTGGGTGATTGATGCGCAGTGGGGCTCGGTGTTTCAAGGCGGGGAGCAGGAGTCCCCTGACAGGGACATTATGCCTGCGTGACAGGGGCAGGCCACTGGTGTCACTCACAGCTCCTTGGCTCCCTTCGGGACCCCAGGTTGCTGGCACATTTTATCTAACTCATCTGAGGGGCACCTAGATTTGAAAGGTGAGCTTGGCCAGAGATGGTGGCAGGAAACGTGCATGCAGGATTCAGCTTCAAATAGAGAGGAAGGATCAGAGATCAACATGCAGCTCAGACCTGTGAGGGGACTCTGCTACAACATTGCTTCTTCTCTCCTCAGGACTATGTATTCCTGACCCCATCTCTGGGAGGTGATGGTGCTCAGAAGCCTTTCCAGGCTCCATTCCTGCATTCCAGGCACGCAGAGATGTTTTGGCAGCTGCTAACACTGTCATCACAGGCAAAACCAGACACAAGGGAAGTGCAGAGTACACCTCATGCTGGTGTGGCACCTACCTTCTCCCCTGGGGTCACTGAGATCCTCCAGACACAGTGGGAGTAGGAGGGGTAGCCATTTGGAAAGCCAGGGGCTGAGAAATTCCCTGTTGAGTCCTGCAAGGTCTCTCCACAAGCTGTAAGAGGAGGGGAGAAAACAGCAACAAAGAGTCACCCTCTGAAAGATACAAAGGTCTATCAAAACGTTTGCACATGGCTGCTGTGTGCAGGTTGGTGGCTGGTACTCTAAGGATGTTCATTCATGGTGCTGGCCAAAGGTCTTTGACCACCTGAGACCTTGCCAAAGCGGTGATGTGAAGTTTGTCAGGATTCCCAGGATAGAAGATTGTCAGTGCAAGGACACAGAGGAAACAGTTTTTTAAAAGGCACCCTTCCTCCTTCATCTTCCTTCCACATGACAGCACTTTTAGGTTTCCACTCTACTGAGGAATAACCCATTCACTAATTAAATGCAAACTATTAACCCCACACCATCTCACAACTCCAAGACTGTCAGAAAATCTGTTTTCCCTTCATTACAAGCTGCTCAATAAAGTTCTCCTTAGTTACCATTGTTAAGTGTCTTTTATTTTTTTGAGTTAAAACTTCCTAACAAAAGCAGGGCAAGCCCCACCGCCCTCAGGCTTCAGCTGTCCAGCGCCTATCCTGCTGTCATGCTGCACAGGATAAAACATGAGTGCTGCAGCTCGCTCTGCTTTCCACATTCTCATTTTTGTGGCCTGCTGCAGGTGATGAAATGTAGATCCCAGAGTGACTTTTGGGAAGCAAGCAATATGCACATGCATATGCTCCTTTAGGGAACTGCAGCTTCCAACATCTGGGAAACCTGTGACTACTGTAGTTCCTGCTCTCTGAGCCAAGAAGACTGAGCTGAAACAAGAAGTGACCATCTACATCTGCAGAGCAGCTGACTGGCTAGGTAGCTACCATTTCCTTCAGAGTGCTCACCAGACACATGCAAATAGCCATCTCAAGGAGCAGCGACCTTGGCTTGCCTGTTTTCCAGTTGTTTTTTCGAATTTCAGAACCCGCTGACGTTACAAAGCTGCCCTTGACCTGTGAGTCGGTTTCCTCAGTGACAGTAAGGCAGCTCCCAGTAATCCTTCATTAAGCAGCAGTGCTTTGAAAGATCTGACAAGGCCGATCATGTGGCTCCTTTTCTTATGAAAATGCCAGGGGATGTTCTTCTGCCTGATACTATCATACACTCACTAAGTTTTCAGCCATGATCACATTTAGATGGGTGGGTCAGAGGTGAAAAGAGACTGGTTCCATTCAAAAAGTTTAATATCTTCAAAGAGGGGAGAGGGAGTCACCTAGGGCAGAAATTCTTAATTGCCCTTAAGAGGTTTGATCCACAGTTTAGCAGGCCAGACCAGATGAAAAATAGGCAAGGACACAAAAAGAGGTTTTGCTCAACCAAACAGCTCATGGGGGTACTCTGTGGAAGGTGAAGTCACTACTAGGAGTAAGTTGCATGTATTGGGATATGGCAAAGTGATTCCTGTCAAGAAAGTCAAAGGTATGTTAAACTACTCAAAAAAAGCTCCACTGAGCAGAACAGGTAAATCTTCCCCAAAGGAATGAAGAAAATAAATGAGAGTTCGAAACATCTACATTGCTCCTTCCTTCTCAAGCACTTCTGAAACCCAAGAATTCCCTCTACCAACTACAACCAAGCATTGCACAGCAAGTTTTGGTTTCAAAGTATTCTGCAGAAAGAGCCAATAGCCTCCCACCTCTCCCAACATGTTTGGCAGGTGATGCTGTCTGTAATTCTTCAGGTGGGCAGAGAGAGAGGCCTGCAAAAGGTAATGGCCTGCATGAACTGGAGAAGAAATCTGGACTCCTGTTTGCAGAACAAATACACTTTCTTCCCTTTCCACCTCTTGAAAAAATGCCTTGCCTTGTTGTCTGTGTAAGAGTGTTAGGATAATTCCAGCTCCCAGAATGCTCCTAGGACCCTCAACCAAGAAACACACACTGGTCCAGCAGACAGACATCTCAAAGAAGCTGAATTCCAGCCATATTTATTCTGAGGACAGCAAGCCATTCTTCAGACGATCCTCTGGCATCACTGCTGGTCAGTGCACAGTCTGGAGTGGCCATAGGATGACTCTAGAAATGCGAACAACTGACAAGGTGACCCAGTGAAGAGGGGATTCCAATCCATAGCTCACCAAGATACATAAATGTTCTTTTTCTCTGCTCAAAAATCTATTCATAAACAAATATGAAATTACAAAGAGAGTTCTAAATCACTGGGAACACACACTAACTTACCATAATGACACAGGACAAATAGGATTACTGCCCCCAGCTGAACTACAGTGAAGGTTTCCAACAGCCCAGACGTAATTCCACTAAGTGTAATTATGTAGTACCTGGCAGGACTGTGTGATTACAGAACAGGTACTAACGCATCTACCACCAAACACTACTCTGCTAAAACATCATGAAAGGAAACCTACATAACTCTCCAAACCATGCAGAGGAAACTCTCCACACACACTGGGAGAAGCTGGCCTTTCAGCACAGAGGAGAGCAATTGCCTGTATGTGTAGGGAGAAACAGGATAATAATAAGCAATGCATATTTGCGTGTAGAGCACAGTCTTCTACAGAGCACACCAATAAGCAATACAAATGTACTCCACTGAGTAACAAAGAGGCCAACAGGTCCAGTAAGACATGTTTGGTTCTTCTGGGATCCAAGAAACTGAGTTGAGGTGGTTTTCACACATGGTGAAGAGCCTGCTGCGCATGTAAGCTGCTAGAAAGGAACAGAGGCGAAAAGCAAACAAGGAAAGGTGAATGTTTCAGAAGTAGATGAAGTAGTTGAGTGGCAGGCACTTACTGCTCACCAGCTGGTTACTGGTACGCTGCATATTTTTGAAGCTGAACAGAGAATTGGGTGGGATGACATAACACAGGGTCATTCTCAATTTAGAGTTTAACCATTCCTGCACAGCTAGTACAGCCACACAGGCCTGTATCCTTTAGCACAGCATAAGGCTGCAGGATATGCTGTTTTAAAGTCTTTTATAGTGACAATACTCATCAAATCCCCATCCATGCAGTCGTATCAAATCTAGCATTTACTACTACACAGCAGAATGCATCTTGCCTTCCAGAAATTCCTTCAGCAAATTCCATCTAGTTTCACCTGGCTTGGCACTAACTTGAACCCAGCAGGTATAAGCTTTGAGGAATTAAGAGCAATTTAAACCAGCAGGGTTTCAGAATGGAAAGCTAAGACAGCCCTAACTGTAGCAGCCACAAGGGCTCCAGTCTAATGAGCTGTCTATTGTTTCTCACAATAGACACAGCAGTTGTTCTGGCTCGTACCAGTGTATGCTTGTAACTCATCCTCCACCATGCTAGCTCATTTTGGGGGGGATTTTCTCAGGTGTTCTCAGATGGACACTCTCTTTCTAAAAGAGAAACCACCTGCCATTCAGCTTCTGGACTATGTCGTTGAGTTTTACATAAAAACCCTTAGCTTGACTACTGTATAAAGTTGTCTCCAACCTGAAGTCTCATTCAGATCCTGCTTGAACACACAACTGGAGTCCTTTGGTTCTGAACTCCTGTGCTTTGCATTTTGCAGAGGAAGAGAGCCTTTCAAGCTACAGATTCAAATGGCAGCCAAAGATGTTCATGTTATTAAATATACTGCACTCCTTCTCTTCAAAACCAAAACAAAATAATAAATATTTGAAGAAAATTTGTTTAGTAGGCTTAAATCTCTAATCATCCTGCTGCCAAATATTTTCTGGACTACAGTAACCTCTGTAAAGCTTTGTGGGGAAAAAAACCCTAAAGTGTAGAAAAGCTCTTCTATGCAAGCGGAAAACTTAAGACTCAGAAGGATCCTAATTTTAAGAAAGTTGCTTTACAGCTTTTAGTTTGACTTTAACCTAAGGCCAAAGTGGCTTTTCAGCTTGCCTTGAGAAATCTGAATCTGTAGTAACTGTTTCCAGCTATGGGAATGAAAAGCCTGCTTGGATTAGGCCTGATTCAGTCAAAAAACATGATGCAAGATGTCCCTGTTTTTTTTTTAGTATTCAAACAAACTAATCCATAAACTAATCTGTGAGATCTTCCAAGAACTACATCTTGTTCAGCCAAAGGCAAATTAGAAAAAATCATGGGTCTTAAAAGGAAAAAAACAGTTAGTTAGAACTAGCACACTTAAGAAGTTATATCATTCAGTATAAGCTAAGCAGTGATCCCTAGATGTCATGGACTCTGAAGTACTGCTGATCCTCAACATTTATTCTAGACCCTTATAAACTCATACTCTCTCACCTGTAGCTGGATACAGAGAAGCAGATTTGCACAACAGCCATCGACCATTTTCTATGGCCTCGTGAATGGTTCACAGAGCAGTACTAGCCAGCCACTCACTTAAGATGTGACTCTGTATACTGGTAAAACTTATCTCTCCTCCTCACCTTTTCCCCCTCTCTCTGTGATTGCTTATTCCAAGAGGATTAGTCATTTATGATCGTATTAGGTTTATGATCAGTCAAAGTCACTCTCAATGGGATCAACAGGATGGCCAGATCAACCCATTTAGATGAACTCCTGGGCTAGGCTTGCAGAAGTCCTTTTTTCATTTTATGAATGTTGCAGAGTCATTCTGTAGAACTAGGGCAACTCTCTGATTCTCCAGTACCTTCTCATGAATGTTTCACTACCATCAGAAATTCAACAGAGCTTGTTAAATTTTCTCCCTCCAAGCATCACACCTTCCTTGCTATCTCCCTTCTCAGTCACTGCAGTCCATGCTGCAAGCACCAGACTGGGTGCCAGCTTTGTTTAAAGCCTCTCTTTACATCCTCACATTCAACCTGTCCTTATGTCTGGCAGATTTCTTCTCTGGAATCTGGTTTTCTATATTAATTTATTTAGCCAAAACTGTTGTGCCAACTTTCACTGTCTAATACTTCCAGTTTAAAAGGATCCTTTTGTTCTGATGGGTAAATTTAGTTTCCCGGTCATATTTGTGACCCCAGTGCTCTTTCTGCCAAGCTTTTCAGACCCCAGATAAAGCAGGACTCAGACTATAGTACATCACACATATGTAGATGGGTTCTCTATCAAAGCTCTTCCCAGTCTATCAAATATTTTGCAGCAGAAAGAGCAGTACTGCTGTACCCTGGACAGCCCAAAGCACCAGCTTCCAGCACCTGGTTGTTTCACAAACTGGCATCTTTGGGCTTTATCCCATGTTAATTCCCAAGCTTCAGTGCAACACACCATAATCACAGAGATATGCTTAGAGATTCCTTAAGGCTCCTCCCTGGGACGACTCCTATACAAATAACAGAAGTTTGATGGTTGGTTTGCAAAGACCCCAGTCTACCAGATACCCCTCTACCACTTTTTGCTAACTGGTAGTCCCCACTCTGTCCATGGTCTTGTACATCGGTTTCACTTTCTATGAAGACCCTACACTCTTAATTCTAGACAGTATACTTATATGAAGCCAACAGCAAAATACAAGCCTCACCTTATACCCTCTCCCCAGCCTACTCTGCAGACCCTCTCACCAAGTTGCAGTAGGGAACACCGGACAAACCTGAAGACCTAAACTGAACAGGAATACTGGCAAAGTACCAATAGGACACACATGTTAGGCAAGTTCAGTTTTCCCATAGCTGCAGCTTGAAGAATTTGATGGTCTACATTTCCTGAGTCTCTTTTATCAAAAGGATCATTAAGGTGCTCTTGAACTCCAGCGTCTTCCAGATAAAACATGTGTCTACAATAAAGCTGGAGCCATCTCCACAAGCCATATTTACCTGGGCATTTGTACAACTTCCTTGCCTGAGCGATGTCTCCCTGACTCAGGCGAATACGCTGACCAATAGTTGGTCGGACCCCGTTATCATCACGACGGGGAAGGATGGTGTCGAGGAAAACCCCTCTAAAGGGAAGAACAGAGAGATAAAGAGCAGTGAGGTAGGGAAAGTGACACAATGCACACAGAAAGTCTTCCTGGCAGGCCTCCCACACCATCCCCTTCACCATACATCCCAGGCTAACAACCAAGAGTAATGCAGACTGTGATAACTACATGTCTTGAGGTGGCCTTCATGCCACCAGATAGCTTCAAAATGTACAGGCAAGTCTGCCAAGCCAGTAAATTCCGCTTCTGATATAACAAGATTGCCACTGCCTCTGTTTGAGTACAGACACATTCCTTGCCATAAATCAAAAAAGGCAATGAAATACTTTTGCAGAAGGTTCATGGCACATCTGGCTCAGTAGAAGGACAGATCAGATACTTAAGCCAAAGGAGCAGAGGGAAGGGGAGTTTGTTTGACAGCAGATGGGGCTGGGCTGTCAGTGACTGCAGTGGCCACAGACAAGAGAAAAGATCATGTGCTCTACCTTTGCTCTGCATGAGTTTCCAAACTAATAACTCCACTTCTCTCTGCCTCCTTTTCTTCTCTCCTGTTTCTTCCATGTGGTACTTCATACTCAGGAGGCCTCTACTGCACTTCTGATCTCAGTCTAGAAAAGGATTTAAGCTCACCTTCATCAAAATGCCAAGTCTGTGCATCCAAGCAAGAGCTTGCACGGAAAAGAGACCCCAGGGCAGCATTAGGACTGCAAGGCTAAAGTGGGAGGGAGGAATTGGAAACCTGAACTCCAGGTTGGTAACATACAAGCTCTCGTGGCCAGGCTGTCCTGTCCACAGAAACCATTCCACTGCACCCCTGAACATCTAACAAGCTTGGAGATGCCAAGGCTATTGGTGAGCTTGAGACTTTGGCATCAGCTCTGAGAGGCACACTTCACTTTCTGAAGGACAGGGCACAACCTTCTGTAGAATCCAATGGGAAATCAGGGCAGAAGCAATAATTTTAGTGCTTCCTAGTCCTGATACAAGAGACTTCAAGTATAGGCTAAGCTCTAAGTACACAAGTAATTCTGTTCATTGGGCTGCTCAGCTGCGCATGAGCCTTGGGAAGGAGTTTGAGAGAGGTTTTTGGTAGTGGTTTAATTTTAAATAAGTACTGCGAGCAGAATATTTGGATCACAGCTGTCCAGAGGTGCAGTCAATATTCTTGAACAGAAAATATCATTCTATTAAACATATTTTGTGGTGGAAAATTATTTTGTAAATATTCAAACTGAAGGAAGAAAGAGAGAGGAAGGAATTTAATCTGTTTTAAAAACTAGAATCAGCTCTTGCATGGGAGATGTTGCGTTTTTTTCACAGGTAGGAAAATTCCTGATCAGCACTAAAATCAGTGCTTACAAGCTCTGAGGTAAACCCATCAAATTTTGATGGACAAATTCAGGCTGGCATTCTACATGCCAGCTGCATGCCTCAGGCTGAATTTATTTAAGTTTATGTATGAAAAATAAATTCTCCAATTCCAGAAACACCACGAAAAGAGAAACAGGTTGGTTTTCTCAGAGTAAGTTTTCAAGCCTCCTCAGGAGTTCACAGAAGAACTTGACATTTTGTGACATACTGCTGTGGTCAATGAAATGCTTTCTGCAGATCTCTAGGCTCAACCAAGGAAGAATGGCAAAGTTTAATAGAGAAATCATGACTTGCACACTCAAACTGCTGTTGTTTTTTTTTTTTTCATTCCAGCCCTCACAACTGTGCAATTACAGCCCCCAGCCTCCTGCACATAGCATACACCTAGGGTATTGCTTACACAACACAAACAACGCACAGCTCCAAGTTAGCTTGAGATCTCTAACTGCCTGCCAAACACATCTTCTTCCAGAAGGCTGTACCTTAGGGGGTACTTACTGTTGGGCCAGTAAGATTTCTCATTTTGCTTCTTCTACCAACTGAATGTTGTGTTTCCTTCACATGCATTGCTGAACATGTGTGCTGGTTTTGGCTGGTATAATTTTCTTCATAGTAGCTAGTATGACACTATGTTTTGGATTTGTGCTGAAAACAGTGTTGATAACACAGAGATGCTTTCATTATTGCTGAGCAGTGCTTAACACAGAGTCAAGGCCTTTTCTGCTTCTCATCCCACCCCACCAGTGAGGCTGGGGATGCACAAGAAGCTGGGAGGGGACATGGCTGGGACAGCTGATCAAAACTGACCAAAGGGATCTTCCATACCACAGGATGTCATGCTCAGCATGTAAAGCTGGAGGAAGAAGAAGGAAGCGGGGGACATTTGGAGTGATAGCATTTGTCCTCCCAAATAACTGTTACATTATCGTTATGGAGCCCTGCTTTACTGGAGATGGCTGAACACCTGCCTGTCGATGAGAAGTTGTGAATGAATTCCTTGTTTTGCTTTGCTTATGTGTAATGCTTTTGCTTTACTTATTAAACTGTCTTTATTTCAACCCATGAGTTTTCACACTTTTACTCTTCCAATTTTCTTCCTCATCCCACCAGATGGGGGGTAGTGAGCGAGGGGCTGGGTGGTGCACAGTTGCCAGCTGGGGTTATACTACAACATGACTTAAAATTAGGAGGCAGTAAGTATAGTTCCTCCCATTTTACAATCAAAGGAACTGCGAAAAAGAAGAGTCTTTCTGACTTAAAACACATAGGTCCCAGCAGCCCCATGCTGTCCACTCAAGCCCTATCTTTAAGAGCACTGATACTTTGGCTTACAAATTAATAAACACCAAGCAGACATCATTAAACAGAACTTTTCTTGAATAGGGTACCTAACCTCTCCTCCCAGAGGTAGGAAAAGAACCCAGAAATCCTGGATGGCCCATTCTCCTGCTGTCCAGGCATGGGCAGAGCATGTATTAGCTGCCCAATGCAGTGGTAAGTCAAGCCCAACAACCCACCATCCCTACTAGCTAAGAATGACAGTTACACAGAAATGCTCTCAAGTCATTAGCACCTGCATAGTACCCTGAATGTGTAAAGTGTAAACATTATGGAATTATCAACTGATCTTGAGAAATGGTGAATATTCACTGTCCCATCTGAGGGAAATAGATAGAGATGCTTTAAACACCACTCAAGGAATCAGATGTTCAAGGCAGGCTAAGCACTCAGCTACAGGCAAGTTACATTTCGTCCTGACTCTGTGTTTATATTCTCATCTGCAGAGGAGAGACAACATAACCCTACTTTATACAGTAAAACCTGTGAAGTATGCAAGTGCCATGTGTATACATCTTGTGCAGGATTAGGATGGTGTGTTGCCCATATACCAAGAAGATGTCCCTTCACATGCAGACAGTGCAACCTGCATCCTGATTCAAATGGGAGCTTGGCAGAGGTCATGTTTTGTAACTCCAGGCTGTCTGCCATGTCTACGAGCAAGAGGCTTAGTGAATTAAGGTAACACACTATTTAAGACTTTGTGGAGGTTTAAACTTTCTTATTTCTAAGCTGCCATTTGTGGGTCTTGACAGCCATAAAATAAATTGTTTAATGAGACAACAGCATTAAATTTAATTTACTGCCATGTCTGTAAGGAATGCACCAGGAAATAAAAGCTTGCAGCCATACTCTGCAAAACAGGCAGCTTTCTAACACAGACAAGAACAGAAGTTCCCATGGTAAAAGTCTGTGACTGTCATTACAGTCTCTTGTACCATACTCCTATTCATATTAGCCACAGATGCAAATAAGAAATATGTTTTGCTGTGAACTGAAAATGAGCAGTGACTCCTGCAGCAAGTTTCAAAAGCACCACTGGAAACAGTTTCCACTGCTAGGACTCACTGTGTCTCACAAAAACTGGCCCTTTCTGTCCTAGGTACAAAGTTTAGAATAGAAAGGGCCTAAGATCTGCAGCAGCATTTGACCATGGCAAACACCATATGATTTGCTGTGATCAATATTCAACAGGAGTCATAAACAACAAGGTTGTGCTAAATGCCATGTACGAGTTGCTTCAAGACAAGTCATAGACACGGTTCTGTGTCCTTCACCTTCTCCTCACTCACATGTCCCATCTCTAGCGGTGAGCTGCTCAGACCACCTTTTTCCTACATAGACTACACTCACAAATCTCCACTGATTGGTCAAAGTAAGCATCATTCCCTTAGGGGAGCAGATGTCAAGACAGGTCTTGGTAAAGTAAAAGCCAGTTCCCAGCACTGCCTATTTACAGCGAGAGACAATCAACCCACAGAGGCACTCAGTGCTCAGTTCAATTACTGCACAAAGACTGCTACTGGGGTGAGGGTGGGTCAGAGAGACAAAGGGCTTAAAGAAAACAGACTTAAAAATCCTATTAAGTACCAATTTAAATTTAGAAGGACTCTTGCCATTTTTATCCCTTCTGGCCCAGCAGTGTTCTGAAGGACCCTGGCTTTCAAGAAACACATACTCAAAGGCATCCACAATATAAATGGCAGTAATAACTTAATCCTGCTTTTGTGCAAGACAATTTAGAGTCTAGCAAATGCTAGAAGGCTCCAGCAGATGCCTCAAGGGAAGAAAAATTGTTTGCTTTGGGTATCTGACCCAAAGAAATCTCTGAAGGCTGCAAAGCTCCCCTGCCCAGCCACCATCTCGTCTGCCAGAACAAGCAGCACTTCAGCAAGTTAGATAACTTCCCCCGGTTGACGTCAAGTTTCAGAAACAAAAGCAGAAAACAACAGGCTTGTCAACTGCATAGAACTGGGGAGTAAGAAAATTTTAAAAGCCCCAAAGGCACATTTAATTTTTGCAACAATAAGATCTCAAGAGTGTGAATATTTGTGCTCTGCCTCCCATTCCCTTTACTCATTGTACGTAGAGAAGGAAAGCTCTTGTGAAGCAGCAGTAGTTTTTTTTAATGGCAAAAAAACCAACTTCAAATAATGCAGCAAAATGGAGCTCTCATTCCAAATCCAGGACATAAGTAACTATGCTTATTTTATCCAATAGACCCATCTGCAGGGATGAGATGGGAGTCAAGGGCAAAGACCCTACACAAAAATTGGCCATTTATTTGGGACAGGAACAGGGCAGAAAACTTCTTCATGAAGAACCCAGCCACATGGAGTCAAAGAGCTGCAGAGGTCATGATCTAAAGCACATACATAAATGGTTAAAAAAAGTAGCCAAGCAATTAAAGATCATGATCCAGAATTTAAATTCTCCCTTGGCGAAATTGCTAGGGATTTGGAAGGCAATATTGTGACTTCAAAGCTTGAGCTGGACAACCAAGAGATTCAAAGGTATTTTTAACATTACCCCCTATAAACCCACCTATAGACACACGTACACACACGCTGGCTGGGAAGGTTGCGAAATGCGTTAACATGGCTTTGGAAGGTCTTTGAAATTATCAGCACTGGGTGAATACAATGGGGAGGGGAAAACAGGAGTGCATCATGATTCTCTTCATCCACCTTGCTTTTTCAAGTATTTCCCAAGCTTTGCAATGCAGCAGAGCTCACTGCAACTGCCACATACCTCTACAGTAGATCACAGGTCTCCTTCTAGGCTCCATGTATCCCTCAGAACTAATCACAACTACTGAAAATAGTTCTAAGAACACGTAACCTTGGATTTTCACCTGGAGAATGTGTTCCTAGCATAGTGCATGATGCTGTCAAAGTCATAGGTCTCTCCCAGCGAGTTCACTTCCCCAGCTTCCATCTTTAAAAAGTTGTACTCCTGACCTGTGATGACAAACACAAAGGGAAAAAAACAACTTTTTTTTTTTTTAAAAAGCAGCCTCCCACCCGTGGGTGCCTAGAATGAAAGGGATATATTCCTATGTTCCAACAATTCCAGCTAGAAAGCCAAAATCCTTATTCACTCATTTATTTTGACCTTTATTCTAGGCAAAGACTAGCAATATTTCTTCTCCAACTCAGCTCACAGACTACTAGGGTTTTCCACAAGTACAGCAAGAAAGGTTTCCACCCACCCCAAACCCAGGTGGAACAACCTGAAGTGCTCTTTTACCTTGCTGTATGTTCTCTCTAATGATCGTGACATGCTGGTCCCTGTCAGGCCGTGTGTGCTCATGCCAGAAACCCACGACATGACCCAGCTCATGAGCCACAATACCAAACTTGTCACAGTTCTTCCCAATGGATATAGCCTGAGGCCCTCCTCCTCGGCGACCCACGTATGAGCAGCATCTGGAAAAGAAAACCCATAAACCCATGCAGCACATCCATGGATTCGGGAAGTCAGACACATAGCAACAGGAGAGGGCATCTGGCAGCATCCAGGACAGACACTATATGTACTTACATGCATACGTATAAAGAAAACAGGTAAGTGTATATCTATAAACATGAGTACATACACTTCAATGTTATCGCAGGAAAAAGAATCCAGAAAGGCTTAGCATTTTCTTCTGAACAAATACCAAATTATCCTGGCAATCCTTACTGGAAATGACCAGATGCATCTCTGTGGCAGATTCCCCAGTGTAGCCACTGGTTTATTCTGACAAGAGCTAGACTTACAAAGCCATCTATCAATGGAAGGGATGTTTGCAACACCGAGAGCTGCAGGGAATATGTGCATCACTCACCCACATGTTCTGTACGTGAACACAATGAAACTCTCTTCATCAGTTCTCTCCACAAATGTCACACAAGTGTGCTTCTCCCAGTGCCTCATCGCTTGCTTAAAGATAGCTCTCTGGGTTCCTGACAAAAAATCCAAGAAGAGCAAACAGTGAAGGCCTGGCTTTCAGAAAAATCTCTAATGGACTTCATCTGGATAGAGGAACAGTCAACTCTTCCCAACAGTCAAGCATATACCTGTAGACACATCTAGGAATTCCTACTACAGCGCTGACTTACTGTATCTTACTTTTCTTTCCTTCTGTTTGATGAACTAACTGCTCTAATTAAATAGGTACCAAACTTGGTTAAGCACATCGATACTTCTGCATATGAGAAATGTCACTTCACTAGGTAGAGGTCATTCTGGCAGAGCTGCTGGGTGTTCTGACCTGTGCACCAGCTACTCAGTGGTATGCCAAATTTGCTCTCGTACTGCAACATAACATGACGACACACACAGCTTTCAAGACCCAGAAATCTCATGAGTGCTACAGATGCTTCTCAAAACTAAGGCAAAACTGTCACCAAGTATTTAAAATTAGAAGCAAAAACTGTATAGGTGCTAGAGGCAGTCTCAGGGCAGTGTAAGAAGGTATAGAGATACACTGCTGCTCTGTGCTTGAACTGAGGGACAGCTCAGGACTTGCACAGAGACATACCTGACAAGTAGGGTATTATGACTGTTGCACACTCGTACGAAGACAGGCCATGGGACCCTCCCTCCCCAGGGAGAGGGGTATCTCCAGCAGTCACTCAGCAGCACCCAGAACAGTCATACAGATGACTGGAAAGTGATGCTCCAGAGCAGTACACATCCAGGAGTCCTCCCTATACTGCCTTTCCAGCAGAGCCTCTACGCACATAGCTGCAGAGCAAGCTGCCATTCTCAAGAGGGAACAGAGAGGGGGAGAAATGCCAGAAGTACATCAGAAAGCACAAGGAGTATAGACAGGAGCTCCAGGGCAGGATTAAGCTGAGGCAGAACACCTAAAGCTGAATGCAAGAGAGGACTGTGGTGTGGTTAGAGCCGCTTCTTACACAGTCACTCAAGTGGAAGGATGGCAATACCTACTCTGGACTGGTTAGGGCAGCGGGACACACACAGCACAGAGAAGACATTTTCATCAGACCCTGAGGGATAGGCATGGCTGTTCTCTGACAAATGTACAGGGATAGTTGTGGCTAGCAGGCTACTCAATGTCCCGCCAGGTTGCATAAGCCTCTCCTTTTGTAGGAGGTGAACAGATCCTTCCACTGGGGCTTCACAGACTCCTGGCAGCAGTGTGGGTGCCAGTATGAGACAGGGTCTGGGTGAACACATTAAAGAGGAGGCAAACCCACACTGTACAGAAGCGTCTCCCAAAGTGCCCTTTGCTGCTGGGACAAAGTACATCACAGGAGCTCAAGGGAGTAAGTTCTGGTGGATCTAAGTGGGAGATGGTGAAGGCAGCCTGGGCAAGACAGGAAGAAGCTGACTCCAGGGAGGCAAGAGCATTTGTCATACATGAGTCAAGGAAACCAATCCTATGGGGAACCACTGAGCTACAGAGAGGTGACATCAGAGCAAGTTGTCTGTCTGCTTCTCGTGAGAGACTTACAAGAGATCTTTTGCACCCCAAGAGACATCTTAGTTTGGATAGTGCCCTGGAGATGCTATAGAGATCCTAAAAACAATACTCTGGAGAGCCCCTCATCATGGGACCCAGCTCACTGTTCCTCTCCCTCATACAGCTAGAGGAGACCTTGAGGTTTGGCACCCAGGAAACAGCAGGTCAGGAAGCAGAGTGCACAGGGAAAGTTCTTTCAGTGAGGATTCAGAAAGCAACCCATTGTACTTCTCCTGCTCTTGCAACAGCAGAGAGGATCCCTTTCTGGAAACACAGGTAGGAATGCAGCTTACAAGTGCTGGCCCCTGAGGCAATCAAGAAAAGTGACCAAGTCACCCAATTATTTCCTGTATCCAAGAGAAGAACCATCTCACTGCACACTTCAGTCTCAGGCTTCCACAGTGCACAATTCCTTGTGCAACCACATGCCCACCCTGTCTCAGGAGAGCTCCCAAGGACCTGAGCCATTTGTGGGAAAGTCTGCTCCCGAGATCTCCCACACATTTTGAGACACTCACCCCTGAGCAAACAGGGAGCAACGTTCTCACTACTGACCAGTGAAATTTCCTCCGATCACATAGGGGATGACCCCCCCTGGCCAGATCCTCTCAGCCCTGGATGTGGTTGCCCTGCGCACTCTGAGAGAGGAGTGTGTATCCATCCCAGACTCATCTTTATATTCCTTCCTCTTCGGTCTCCCCGCAAGCGTTGTGTTCTGCCTGCCGTCTGCAAGACAGAGTGGCAACACTGTTTAAATCCTCTTTACTTCCACGTGCAGCCCTCAGGTAATACCCTGGAGCTTCAGAAAAAGAGAAACAGAAAAAGTAAGATGTTAATCCAAACCAGAAGCCATAGGTTGATTCGTCAGTGATTTGTTTGGGACTTAATCTGTAGCAACCTGGCCCTTTTTGCCTTGGAGACTCCCTATGAACTATGCCAAACCTATTCTCCCAGAAAGTATAAAGGGACATGCCCCCCCCATGCCACCCACCCTTTCCAACAGCAGCTTTATAGATGGGGACACAGTACTTAAACAAGGTGAATGAGGAGAGGTCAAAGAAGCCCATATGTCACTTTATATTCTCAACCTGCCCTACTCAGCCAGAAAGGTTTGTCCTGGCAGGGCGTGCTTCACAATGGCAACAACTACTGATTCGAGTCACCCTTGGAAGAAGAGGACAGGCCCTTTAGACTTAAACCTATACTCAAGGCTGAAAACTACTATCTAAAAGCGTTTGTTTTCACATGCTAGGTCTTGGGTGGTTTGGGAATATATACAGATCAGGCAGTCTCTGCTGGAGGAGGGATGCTCAGGGTGGAAAAGCTGACGCATTCTATACTTAGCACTAATGTCCATCCACGCTGAATCTCTTCTTTTTTAATGAAAAGGAGCAAAAATACAAAAGGGAAAGCAGAACATGTGTCTCATTTCTTGCTAAAAAGGCAGAGGAGCCCTGGTGGTGCAGCGCTCACTACTAGTCATAAAACCTGCCTGAGGATTCACGCAAGTTTCTAGGCAGACCCTGTATCTTGCCCTGCATCTGTGCTGCTGCAGCTCTGCTCAGATACTGGTTACACCTACACAAGTTGCACTTTTAATGTGGTGTGGGTCTGATCCAGCAGAAAATAACCTTCATTCACAGCTTCCTGGCTGTTCTCCCCTTGTTTGCTGTGCCATGGGTGATCCAAATTCTCAAAGCAGCCATAGTGCAGCTGGGCTTTACTAGCATGTGGAAGGACTACATAGACACCATTTCTTAGAAAAGCTGCCTGTATCACACAGCCAACCCGTCAGCTGGACTTGGGCAAAGGAATAATAGAGTACAGGGACTGCTATACCTGCAGAGAATGGCCTAAAGGCCTCTCACCTTGAGAGGTAGCACTGCTGGCAGTGGCTCCTCAGCGCTGATGGACCTCTCTGAAACTCTGAGAAGAGGGATCTAAGCTTCAGTTGTGGTCTTGTGATTCATATGGAAATCAGCAAGACTGTCTACAGCTTTGCCTCTCAAGTCAGGGACATGGGCTGACGGGTTATGAAAAAGCAAAAGGCTCACTGAGACCTTTCTCCAGTGACTGGAGGGACTGCTGAAGGCCTCTTCTCCCATTCATCCCTCCAGCAGAAACACCAGTAAGCAAACCACTACTGTCAAGGCTGAGGGGATGAAAACAATGGGAAGGAAATTAAGGCAGTGCAGAGGGATGGAAAGAATGAACTTCAAACCCTCTCTCCTGCTTCACCAGGTCCAGTCTTTCCTACTGGAAGCCCTTCTCTGAGCTGCAGGACAAAGCCAGGAATTTGCCTTTTGTTCCTCTTCCTCCCAAGCACCTCCCCAGCTCCGGTTGCACCCAGAATTTCAGAAGCTGCCCTATCCTCAAACCAGCTGCTGGACCCTTGCAAGGCAGATGCTCTGAGGTTGGGGGTTCCTACAATGAAATAAGAGTCACCCTCCCCTTCTTTGCATAAACCTATCCCACAGAGGTACTGCTAGGGTATTACAAGGGCCACAGCTAGAAGAAGGGAGAGGGTCTTCAGACACAAGTGATCTTCTGGATACCTGTCTCCCAGTCACAAACTGCTCCTGGAGCTGCCTAAAATCTTTGTGGATTTACACACAGACAGGTCCTGCCAGCAAAGCCAAGTGAGTAGTCATTTGCACTGCACTCTCCTGCACCTGGTGTGGTAGGAGCTCAGCACAGAGGACCTTGGGTCCACACTTCTGTATCTCCAATGCTTCCATTCCTCACCAGCAACACACCCTGGGCAAATTCTCCACACCAGTCCTGCAGCAGCTCTTGACTGCTCCTAATCCCTGCTAATATCTTCTACATTTAACAACTTAAATTTTCAGTGAGTCCTTGGAGAAGCCTGGCATGCCCTTCTAGCAGGGCCTTAGGGAAAAAACAGGCAGCAGGCAAAGTATCACGAGGGGACAGAAGAAATCTGTACACCATGCTTAAAGAAGCACTGCTTACAGCCACTGCCAAGCTGCATGTACAGAGAGGGTTTCTTCAGTGAAAGATAAAGCCATGCTGCTTTCCTAACGCTGAGCCTAACTGGACTTAACCTCTCTTACTGATTTGTACTACTGCTAAGCCTGGGATAACCGAGATCCTTTCTAAAATCCCACCCTCTCTTCATGATGAACGACGCTCAGGTTTCTGGACACCAGCCATGGGTGAGAGACTCCTTACACTGCCCACAGTCCAGGCAGCACTCTGCATCTGCAATGTGCCATGAAACAGTCCCTTCTGCTCTCTGAAACTCACTCAGGGGTTTCCCAGCCTCATCTGGCCAGTAGAGACAGCCCAGCTTTATGCCAACAGCAGCACCAGTCCATCTCTAACTGGAAACAAGCAGGCAAAATCACCAGCATAGCTTTGCAAGCAGAAGCACCTTCCTCAAGTGCTCCTGCCTACTGCACCACTGCCTCCAGCCTGCCAGCAGCTCAGGAGACAGAAGCAGCTGCGATGAGAGAATACAGCACTGAGCTATGAGCACAGCAGCCATGAGTGGGAAAGCCTCTGTCCTGGACTGACCTTACTGCATGGTCTCTCTGTCTCAGTGCCTCTGTCTGTGCATGGGAAACAACAGTCCCTCCTGCACACAGTGGGTTGCAAACGCATAGAGCAGGGCAACCTTGAGGAAATGCCCATAAGATGACAGTTCTGGAGTGATCCTGAAAGCAATACCTTACCTACAGGAGTAGGAGAAGCCAACTGCAAAACCTGGCCTGGGTGACAGCCTTGCTTCAGGGGAACAGAAGCCTAAACTTGTTCAGCTGAAACATCCCTACAGCAAGAGCCAGCTATCATTACACTGTCTGCTTTGGAGTAAAATGGTTTTGCTGTCATAGTGACAGTCATGGCTACCTGTATGTATTGGGTCTGTCTGGGATGGAGTTAACTTTCCTCATAGCAGCCCCTAAGGTACTATGTTTTGGATTTGTAGCTAAAACAGTGCTGATAACATGCCAATGTTCAGGCTATTGCTGAACAGTGCTTGCATAGCATCAAGGCTTTCTTATTTTCACTTTGCTGAGCCTTCTCCACTCCCTAGGCAAGTAGAGATGGGAAAGACAAGAAGCTGTGACAGCTGACCCAAACTGGCCAAAAGGATATCCCATACCGTATGTCATCATGCTCAGCAATAAAAACTGCATGGTTTTGTCTTCCAAGGTAGCCACTGCTCAAAAACTGGCTGGGCATCAGTCTGCTTGTGGGCAGGGGTGAGCAATTGCCTTTATATCACCTGGTTTTGGCTTATTTTTTTTTCTTTCCTTCACTTATTAAACTATCTTTACCTCAAACAATTAGTTTTCTCACTTTTGCTCTTCCTGCTCTCTCACCTATCCTGCTGGCAGAGGAGGATAGTGACCGAGCACTTGTGTGGCTGCTTGGCTGCTGGCTGGGGTCAACCCACTACAAGGCAAACCCACCCTTGCAGAGAGTCCACCAACAGCAATGAATGCAGACGCCTGGGCAGGGCTGGTCTCCTAGGTACGAAGGCACACACATGTACACGGGACAAAACATGGTTTTACAAGGGATAAAAAAGTAAATAAAAGATACCCAAAGGTCTGGGTGGGGTACCACATTACCCGTTTTAACTGCTTTGTTACTACGATCGGTTGAAGTGGTGTTCTCGCTTGACACAAGAGACTCTTCTTCCAGGCCTCCTGAAAAGGAAGAAGAGCAGAAACACATCTCCTGGTGAGTTGGCTAGCAGAGCAGCTGTCAGTGACACCATTTGTGAGTCTGCAGCCACAGAAACTGGCTGCTTTCCCTGTACAGGGAGCAGGGACTAAAAGTCTGATAAAGCTGAGCTCTTTTCCTGGATTTGTTCCTAGTTTACAGTGACACCTTGCAACTCATCACCATCCTATGCCTTAGTTTCCCCATATACTGAATCAGCAAAAAGTCTCTGCTAGGGAAGGCTAATTCCACAGAGGTTTACTGGGAATAGGAGCTATACAAGGAGGACTGCAGCAACAGTAAGTACCACTATTAAATCCCAAATTAAAAAGGTACACTGTCAGGGCAAAGAATTATCTACATTCAGACCAATACACTCTTACCAACTTTTACACATCTGGCCTGGATTCAGCTTAATGTGAAAAGAAAAGTCCTTCTCTGTGACGCCAATATCCACTGGCTACCAAAGCAGGAAGAACTGGGATGTTAGCTCCCGGGTATTTCTTGTGCTACCCCTCCCTTTCGGAACAGCACTGCCAGGCACAACGAGGTCCCCGGTTTGTCCGTGGAGATGTCTCCCTCCAGCTCAGTCACCAAAACAAAACTGGCTGGTCCCACTCCAAGTGCCTCGCTGCCTGGCTTTCCTATTTCCTCCATGGAAAAACAACTCATGATGTTCCTGCAATATGCAAGACGCCAACATGTCGAGGGAGGAATCTGAGCGGTTGGTGTCACAGCTATTGGGCACAGAAACCACAGCAGTTCCATGACATCTTTGTACCAGCACCATGCCTAACCCTCTCCTTTCCTCCAGACAGCACTGCTGCTTCCTCTCCCCACCAGTGTGCCACAGCAGAGCACTGCTGGCAGCAGGGTGCAAGGACTGCAGAAGCGACTCCACCAGGTCAGGCTGTTCAGCACGCCAAGAGGCTGAGGGAGCTCAGTGCACCCAAATTCCTCTGTCATAAGATGAAGTCTCAGGGAGAGATCCTAGCTTGCCAGAAAAATCACACTGCTAAGGAACGGAGACAGAGACCTCTGTCTATAGCTCCTACTGGTCTTTGGACCATTAAGGTATCACAATACTTGGCAATAGCCCAATACCTGATTTCAGTTTTTCTGATGCATGACACAGAAATAGGATCTTCCATTAACACTGGATCCATTCTGCTAGAGAAGATTTAAAATGTCATCCAGTGCCAGAAACTGATTTAAAACAAGCAATAACTTGTTCATACTTCTGTTTGAAAGGACTTCAGAATAGTTCTGCCCACTCTAAAGGAAATACTAACTGGGCAAACTCACCTGTGCTGCAGGAAGCAAACTGAGATCTCCCTCCCTTACACAATGTTAACACTAAAGTCTGATTTCTATAAGCACTTTTATGTCCACCCTGGTATCTACAATCCTAAGGTCAACAGACAACCCTCCCATGAGGAGCATGTAAGGGAGAATCACAACCAGGTAACGCAGGAGGAGGACTGAGTTCCACTTCACACTCACTTGGCTACTTAGCAGAGGTATTTTCACAATATTTGTTTTCTGTGGTAGCTTTCAGTTTCTTAAAAATGTCTACATTAATAAAAAGTTCAGAGTGCTTGATGATTTTGTGCCCTACCAAAAAATCTACCCAGGAATCTGCTGATTGTCCCACCGAGGGACGACCAACAGTCATACGGTCTTGAGATTTGAATTCTATGTAGTACCAGCAGCTGCTGAGTGTGGGGAGGGAGGGAGCACTAAGAGATCATCCAGCAGCAGGAGGACCTTCAGGACTGGGACAGTAGAAGAAAATGTAGTGAAAGGGATAGAAAAATGGTTGGAAAATGGGGAGGGGGAAGAAAGAAGAAGGCGGCACTTCTTCATAGAGCTGTTTGTTTCCCAGGTTTCCTGGGCTTTCCATTTTGCAAGGTCCAACTTGGGAACACCACAGAAGCCTGAGAGCAATTACAGAGAGCACAGAAACCTGGGCAGCAAGCTACTGAACAGTCACAGACCCAACATGGAAAACCAACCAGCACCTCTTCGGCAGAAAAGCTCTCCATGGCGGCTATAGGAGGAAGGAGAACTCAAAAACGATGCCTATGGTGAGAGAGCACAACACATGAGACAGCAAGATGTGTAACAGATAAATACAACTGGCACGGACTCCATTCACAGCCCTAAGAAGGTGGTGCTGATATCACCACTGTTGTCCCCCTCCCTCCTTCCCTGTCTTGGTATTATGGGTCCCCTGTGAGCAGAAGGGAAACTGAATGAGCTGATCTCTGCAGAAGTACCAGCAGGAGCAATTTTCTAGTCTTGGTGGCAAGGTAAAGCACAAAGGGCACGGTCAACCACCATAGTCAGAAAGGGAGATACTATTAGTAATACAGCGCTGCTGGATGCCATATGGACAATTCCAAGAGGGATGTCCCACTTTCCAGACAACTGGACAACTTCCAGCCCCCAAACCAGTCTTGCTTTGCCAGCTGGAAAACTCTCCTTTTGCTCTGGGGCTGGCTTCTTGCAAATCCTTCTCCAGCCCCTTCAAAGGGGGAAGGACAGGGAAAAAGGTACTTCTCTGACATCCTGGAGAAGGGCTGAGAGGACGGTATCAAATTCTACCTCTCTCACATTATACTACTGTTACTAATTAGAATATTAGGAAAGGGATGATGAAAGACAGCAACAAAATGAACCAGAGGAAAATAAAATACCCAGACTCTCAGCTGACTATAGGTTAATGCTTCCTGGTCCAAGAGACGCACTAAATCAGGGGATTGTCTCCCAAAGGAAGTGCCATAGTTTAACAGAGCTCGACTGGACAAAAGCCACTAGATGTGTGAACAGGAACAAGCCTGATTCAACAAGATGGATTGCTCTGAACTTTATCACTCTTTTCCAGCCTCAATGTCCCATCTTAAGATTTCCCTTTGTTTTCTTTCATGCCCAGTCCTCCTCACTTCCTTAAGTCCAAGCTCAACAAAAGTTCCTCTTCTCAGTTAAATTTTACATCCCCAGGACTTCTCACCCCCCCAAAGTATGCTATTCTTCACACAATATTCCATTCCATTTAAAGGAAACACTAACCAGCCATTCACCACCAGAATTATTAAGGCATACGGTCTTTGCCGAAGCAAAGGATAATTTTGTATTTCTAAATAAATGCAGCTTGCTTCCAGTCACAAACAGATTGCTTCTTAATTGAACTTGGGAGGTGAATTATATGGTGAATTAGGAAAAAAGAACAACTCTGCATTTAGTGAATTGTTCCCCTAAGAAGGAACTGTATGGGATTGAATTGCAAATGATGGCACCAAACCCTACAGCCGGGCCCCTTCTCTTGCACCCGAGCCGCTGACCTCTGCCGTGGTGCGGTGTCATTCGCGCAGGCTGCTTTTCCAAGCTGCGAGCACATTCTTTCCCAGAGATCAGTGCAAGCCTTGGTTTCTTATGCAAAGGAGATGTTTGAATAAACTAGTGTGACTAATGAAATCTACAACATCTTTGCATATTTTGTCTCATTGTAGCTGATGAAAAGGGAGAGCACTACACAAAGGCCAGATATGGGTGTGCAGATATACCAGATATTTTCAAACTCTACTAATCTCAGAAGTACAGACAGGGAGCAGTGAGCATCCACACCCTCCTCTTCCACAAGGGTGTTTTTGAATCATACATGAGAAATTTTGGAAGCTCTTGTTTTGATTCACTTGAGCTTTTAGACACTTCCTATCCTTATGCTACCTAAACATATCCCAAAGATTAAAGTGACTTGACAGACACCAAGTTCTCTCTTCTGAGTCTTCCCAAGAGAAGGCTAATGCAGGATCCTAGCAAAACAAAGATAAGTAACTGACATGCCATAAGCATTAACTAAGGAAGCCAAGAAATGCACCTTGCATCTGGAAGCAGCTGCATGTATGTTGCAGGCAACGTGCAGGTCCTGTTGCCCTCTCAATATGTTCCTCAAGTTGTACCTCTCTGTTGGGCTATTCTGTCACGTCTGAGAGCAGAGTGGATTCCAGTGTTACTGCTCCAGAGCACGAAATGTCCACCTGTGTATTGAAGCCTATTACCATTAGAAACACTGACAAGGAGAGTGAGTATTTTCAGTTTGATACAATGCTCCATGGAAAGCCAATCCAGTAATAAAAAGGCAAGCTTGGTCTACTGCTTACAGTAACTCATAATGAGATGAGCAAAACAGGATTGACTTTTCTGGCTTTTAATGTATATCCAGCAGTTACCAAGCCCTCCAAGATCCCTTCCATCCTCAGCACTTCCTGCTGCTGTGCCAGCCATCACCTTTCTCCAGTCTGACTGTTTTAAGCTTTGTCTGCTTCTCCCACAGCCGGAGCTGATACGGAATTCATTGAATCTTGCCTCTGTGCAGGGAGCTGTACTAGATCTCCTAAGCTCTTTTAGCACCCACATTTTTGTGATTCAATTCTTCCTACAATTTGTCATGCTTAACAGCTTACAACCCCGGCAGGACATGGCTGGACTCTATAGCTAGATAACAGTTTCTGTGCGTGACCTGGCAGAGGCCACACAAGAGATTCTCTGCCCAGACTGGGAACATTTCATCTTCTGCCTACAGTGCGCTCACACAACAACTCGGTTTTCTGTCTCCCATAGACCAGCACTGCCAAGGGAGCTTGGCCAACTGAAAGAAACGTCCAGTAGCTTAAATACACCATAAATCTGAGATAGATCAACTAGACTTGCAGCCCTGGCTGAAGAGCAAGTGCCCAAATTGTTTGCAGGAACTAGAGAGGCAGCCTGAGGTGGTGGGTAAGGGTCCAGTGAAGCAGAAAGCAGCAGGCTGCAGCACTGTTGGGAAGAAAACAGTTTCTCCCACTCTTCCAGAGAGGAAAATGAAAATCCAATTTTGTTAAAAGAAGTCAAAGTTGTTCGGCTGAAACCAAAGTAAATGACAGTGTATTAAGGGAGAGCACACAAAGCATGCCACCAAAACTGTACTGAAGGGTTAGGGGAG